CCTCATTCTGGCTGCAACTCTGTGTTTGCTTCTATGTGTTAGGTAGATCGCCTATGTCTCTCAGTCTTTGCTGGATGGTAGCATGTGTCCTGTGTGGTCCAATGGCGCAGTCTCCCTGATCTCCTGTGTGTGTGTTCTGGAAGTGTCCCTTGTGTTGTGTGTGTTCTCCTGCTGTAGTTGAGCTTTGACTGCTTTTGGTGCATCAGTGGGTGGGATTGACTCCCAGGCTGACTGTGAGGACTGGCTACACCCACAGTGTATGAGCTGCTGTGTAGGGGCTGATCCCTCAGAGGAGGCTTTGCCTCTGCAAGCTCTTGTGCCTGTTGAGACCCCCCCTTTGGGTGTGCTGCTTGTGGTGCTAACCAGGTAGTGCTCTGGTGCAGTCTGAAGCTGGCCTCTGGGTGTGTTGTTTCTGGTGTCTCTTGGGAGGGGCTCCCATACATGCCAATTTCAGCTTTGCCTATTACTGGCCTGTGGCTACCTGGTAGGAGACTCAAAGCTATACGTGCTTGGCTACTGCCTGTGCTGGACCTGGAGGCATGTGGGGGTGGCCCTGCTGTGAGCTGAGGCAGCTTAGCAAAAGGCCCAGGGCCTCCTAGGCCTATTGCCACCCATCAGTAGCCCGTAAGACCCAGCCATTGAAAGAGGCTCCTTACGTGCGTGTGCCGGACTGGTTGACCTGGTGTTGAGAGTGCCCTTGGTAATGCAGCACTAGCTGGGCAGGGTGGAGTTCAAGGGAGTCATGAGATGTGACCAGTGGTTTTTACATTAAAGCAGATTCAGTTCTTACTCCAGTGTCCAGCCTGTGATCACCTTTTCCAGGCCCTCAAGAACACTGCAGCCTGTGACCTCAGGCTCACAAAATCCCGAGAGGTGCTCCTGAGTGGCTTTGGTGCAGTTTTTGAGTCACTATCCACTACCAAATTCTCCCTGGGCCACTGCGGATTGTCCGTTGCTGTACAAAACCTCTTCTGCGGCTTACGGGGGTGAGGTGGCCACCCAGGCACCCAGAGTACACCTTGCAATGCAGCTCTAGGTAGGCGGGGCTGGGTTCCAGGAAGCTAAGGGGTGTGGTTGGCAGTTTCTACAAATTCAGTGCAGTCTCCGCTTCCACACTGGTGCTGGGCCTAGGAACACCCCACAAGAATCCTCTGAGAACACTATGACCAGCCACTGCCCGCCTAAGGTCTGCCATACCATCTCCAGCCTATGCTGAGGGCAGGCACAGGTCTTGGCTTAATGTCCTCCAGCCAATGCTTCCTGGGCCTCCACAGGCCCTATGCCTGCTTTAATCCAAAGCTTCTCCAGCGGGGCCAGCAGCCTGGCAGCCAGGAATTTCCAGGGCAACGTAGCACCAGCTGTGTGGAGGGTGGGAACCCAGGCGTCACCAAGGCAGTGTGCATGTGTGGATTCTACCAGACCAATGCAGTCCTATACTTAGTCCTTTGGGGGAAGAGTTTAATCCTGAAAAGATTGCCCCCCACCCCGCCTCCCCGTAAGCCACATGTGTGCAGGCTCCACACAGAGTCAAGAATGGCTCCCACCCCTCGCTCCTGGGCCAAAGGCATTCAGTTCAGTCCTTTCCCACATGTCCCTGGGCCTCTTGAGCTGCCACCCCCTCCGCCAGAGACCACGTGAGTGCCTGCCAGCAAGCGAGTTCATATGCCGGTTCTACAAGAGGGCATTTGGAATTCCAGCCACATGTGCCCTGCTGGGAAGGGCAGACATAGTCCTCACTGATTTTCACTGCCAGGTGCTGTGGGAACGCCTCTTCCTGGCACAGGACCCCTGGGCTGGGGAGCCCAGCATGAACCCCCTCCCCTTCAGGGGGACCTCTGCCAGGGAGGTGACTCTCCCAGCATTCAACCTCTCTCTGTGGGTTTGGGTCAGCCTGTTTCGCATCTCCACCCCTCCTACCAGTCTTGATGTGGCCTCTTCTTTATATCCTTATTTACAGGAGTTCTGTTCAGCTCCTGTTCAGATGATTCTTAAGGTTGATTGCTCTATAATTTATTTGCAATTTTGGTGTGATCCTGGGATGCAGCAGGCACAGTATTTACCTAATCCGCCATCTTGATTCTCACTAGACAATTTGTTTTTAGAGTGCTAGAGGGATGGGCCCTAACAGAAGCAAGCTCAGGACAGACAAAGAAATGTGGGTGTCTGCGCACTGTGTGCCAGAGCTGAAATCTGGGGAAGCAACTCCACCTGGTCCCCAAAACTGAGCTGGAGGACAATCTTATTTTACACTCACAATGATGTTCTTATTGTGGGTAAAAGATGCTTAATACATTGCTATCAAACTCCTTTTGGTGAGGTGGGGCTTTTCAGAAGAAATAAAGCACTGATTTAACCTAAGAACTGCAAGTATGGGCTTTACATTTCCCAATTTTCATCTCTCTTTGGAAGGCCAAATAAAAACGTGTTTCAAGTTACTTTTCGAAGGGGAGACTTGGGTCATGTCTAGCAAGGACGTCTTGCTATTCAGTTTTAAAACTGCACAGCATTCCTCTTGTTGACATGATTCCATAGCATTTTCATTCCAGGCTGAAGCTTCCTGTGATGATTTTTGGATGTCCTATTTGAAGCAGTGAAGACTTTCTGAACTGGCAAGCCACCGCGGCCATGTAGGGCAGCTGAACTGTAGATAAAAATCTTCCAGGGAAGTAGGTGTGGGCAGGATGTGTGATTTCCCTGTCTCTAATTTAAAAACTGATGCAATTACAATAATTTTTCATGTACAGACTCTTCCAGTAAAAGCGGCTTTCCAGAGCGTTTCCAGACAAAGTGGAAAGGACAAGTAGCTACTGATCTTCAGTTTGAGTTGAGACTACAGCACTATCTTTCTCAATGCCACAGACATGCACAGCAGGGAAACTGTGCCCTCTGCTATAATCTCAAACCAGCCCCTTTTGTTAGTGTGACATTGAGGGCTCAAATTAGCCATAACAACACACAGCAGTGTGCACGCTTATTTACCAAATAATCTGAAACTGCGCAAGAAGGCGTGATAACATGTGCCTCTGCCTGGCTCTGAATGTGTTCACAGCATCCTGAACCCGGAAGGTATTTATTTCTAAACTTTTAATGATATAACACACACAGATGCTTTCTCTCACATTCCAGGCTAACTAACCACTGTCTGAGTTAAGACTCTGCAAAACATCTGGGACATATATTTCTGGAAAAAATCATGGCATCTTTTCTACAACTCTCTATGGCCTAAGCATTGTGAGCTCTGGCCCCGACAGGAGCCTCTGCAGCAGGATTACCTTGGGGGCCCCAGGGAGGCTGCCCTGGAGCATAGACAGGCATTAACTGAACTCAACACAGTCCAGTTTCACTCATCCACTATTTACGTAGTGCTACTTAGGAACAAAATACAAAGCAGAGCAAATTCCAAAGATGAATAAAATGCATGTGCTGTTGTCCCTAAAAACATCACTTTCTCTATAGAAAAGTAGAGGCTTATTTTACCTTAGCTCGTGATTGAACCACAGAAATACGCTGTCTGACATTCCAGACCTTTTGTCCATGGAAACGGAGCCAGTGCCTGAGATTCGAGAAGTAAAGTCAAAGCATGATAACTACCACTTGGCTGCCCTATGGCTGCTGAATCCAGACAGCAAAGTGTTTTCACTATTCTGAGAGTTTTCTGCCATGCGTTCCTCTATCCAAAAACCTAAGAAAATGTCCTGCTGACAGATGTGCTTACTTTATTCTAAAAGAACAAGAAAGGCTAGATCAGCCTCAGCATTTTAATTTTACATCATCTTGGGTGATCATGGCTCTTTTCACTAAAAATCAATCTCTTCACTAATTTCTTACCATTTCCTTATTAGATTTATATCATACTTATAAAAAAGATTTAAGAGGAGAAAATTAAAAACTCAATTACTGCAAGAGGTCTTTTCATTGTTTGTTGCCTTGTTCAAGGAGCAGAGCTTAGAGGGAGGGGAATGGACTTCCTGTTTACTGAGGAGCTACCTGGGCCAGGTCCTGCACTAGGCGTTGTCCTTCTGTTGTAGTTGACATGGCATCATTAGGAGCACAGGTGCTCAAGCAGGACCAGCTAAATAATGTGTGAGGTCCCTGGTTCAAAATATGTTAAGAAATTCAAGAGAGTGACAGCAGAATATTAAACCAAGCGCAGGGTCCTCCTAAGTGTGGGTCCCTTTGTGACTGCACAGGCCACATGCCCACGAAATTGGCTTTCCTCTTATGCCAGGCTGCCTGAGCTTGAATCCTGGCTTTGCCACTTACTAGTCATGTGATCTTGGACAAGGCATCTGTAAAATGGAGATAAAAACAGTCCCTACTTCAACGAGTTGTTATTAGGATTAAATGAGTAAATATATAAAAAGTGCTTAGAAGAACACCTGGCATATAGCAAGTACTTAGTAAAAGGTTTAATAAATATATGCTCTACCAAGCCTAAACGTCTCAAAATGCCAAAGACAACTGTGGCCTGGCATTGTGAATTCACTAAAACGTTAAAAAAAATGTTTTTAGAACTTGATCCCTGATAAAGAGAATCATGTTTTTATTAGTATGGCAATGGTCACCTTTTAATTTATTGTAACAATTAAACAAGAGATTTTAAAAGATATTCTAGATTAAGTCCAACTACTCACAAAGCAAAACTGAAGTATTAAAAAAGACACTGGTTTATGCTCAGGGTTTTGGAAGCATGTGGAGTGTAAATTGTCACAAAGCCAATTTAATATAACTGCTTCCTTTATGCTGAAAAGACTCACTAGGGACTTTGCTTCTTCCATGCAGGAAATAGTCTGTTGTATTAGGAAAAAAACTAAGAGACACCTTTCTTTTTCTTTTCTTTTTACATTGCAGAATACTGGAAAAAAAAACAACAACCCAGAAAATTTTACTAATCATACAGATCCTGTACTTAGTTCTAGAAAATATTACTAAAACAAGTCAGAAGATAACTTGAAGGCAATGACAGATACTTTTATATAGAAATTTGGTGCACAGAGGCATAAATACTTCACGGTTTATTAATGTTTGTTTTATAAGAGCAATCTCAGTTATTTCACTGGGTTATCTACATGTTTTATTCTTGACTATCAACAATTCTCAGGACTTTCAGAAGCCTTTACAAGAAACATGTAGTTTTTCTCCCCACTTACAATAAATATTGTTAACTGCAGAATTCTAAAGAAGTAAATTGTCATTCATTAAACAATTCGCCCGAGGTACACAGATTTGGGATATTTCTCCTTAAGAGCCGGCCACTGAACAATGAAGTAATCGGAGAGGTGAAAGAGAATCTTTCCGGACAGGGATAAATGGTCTACTCGGCAGATGCTTTCCACATAGACAATGATCACTTTCTTTATTCCTAGTATCCCAAGGAGAAGGGCAGATACACAGATAGGAACACATGTTCCTGGTCCGTTACACAACACCTTAAAAAAAAAAAAAACAGTTGAAGGTCAAATTAAAATACAAAATACTAATCTAAATGAGGCATCTGGCATTAAAAACAGTCACATCTTAGAGAGGATTTTTATTTTTTAATTCTAAGACTTGAATTATTCCACATCATGATCCAATATGTAGCAGCAAACCCGTGTTGTTGGCTCTCCTGCTCACCAACTCTGTGACTGGGGCAAATCACTTAACTCCTGCAGGCCTGGGCGGACTGCCCTGTGCTATAGGTGTCAGTTCAGTGCCTGGTGCTCAGCCAGCACTCACTAGACGGGTGTGTGTTGCTCTTCTCTGACTGTTTTGTGGATCTTAAATGTCACACAAATTCATAGAAAACAGATAAAATCAGCTATGATTCATTGTCTTCTCAGGTACCAACTTGTTGATTTTTATTCCCATCCCCCCAACCCCTCTCCCCCTCAGGCAACCATCAACTTGTTCTCTATTATCTATGGGTCTGTTTGTTTTATTTATTCATTTGTTTTGCTTTTTTAGATTCGACATATAAGTGAAATTATATGGTACTGGTCTTTCTCTGACTTATTTCACTCAGCATAATGCCCTCAAAGTCCATCCATGTTACTGCAAATGGCAAGATTGTATTTTTTTTATTGCTGAATAATATTCTGTTGTATATATGTACCACAACCTCTTTATCCATTCATCTACTGATGAACATTTAGACTACGTCCATATATTGGCTATCACTAGTAATGCTGCAGTGAACATAGGGTGCATATATCTTTTTGAATTAGTGTTTTTGTTTTCTTTGGATAAATACCAAGAAGCGCAATTGCTGGATTGTATGGCAGCTCTATTTTTAATTTTTTGAGGAACCTCCATACTGTTGTCCACAGTGTCATTCCCACCAACAAGGCATGTGGGTTCCCTTTTCTCCACATCCTCACTAGCAGTTGTTGTTTGTTGATTTATTGATGATAGCCATTCTGACAGGTATGAGGGGATATCTCATTGTGGTTTTAATTTGCATTTGCCTGATTAGTGATATTGAACATTTTTTCATTATGTTTGTTGACCATCTGCATTTCCTCTTTGTAGAAATATTTATTTAGGTCCTCTGCCTGTTTTTTAATTGGTTTTTTTTTTTTGGTGTTAAGTTGGATGAGTTTCTTATATATTTTGGATATGAACCCCTTATTGGATGCATCATTGGTGAATACCTCTTATTCAGTAGGTTGTTTTTTTGTGTTGTTGAT